CCAATATGGAGGGGTGCCTTGAGTCCAAAAATGGTGAGAACTACTGGGACAAAGGATAAAGGACCTGCTTTGATCCCACTGACAAGGATGCACACCTTAAGGAACTGGAGCACGGAAACTTACAATACAATTACAAAACTGTTGTCACTCAGTTCCTGGTCCAAGCTGCTACAATACCAAACCTCGGATAAGCACAACAGAAGCCTGTTTTCACCCCCAATCCCCAGCTTGAATACCTTAGACTAATCATTAATGACCTCCAGCCCCTTATGAAAAATGATGACCATTTCAAAGTAGCCTTGAGGGACAAACCTGTTCTTGTTTACAGGTAGCCTGTCAATCTCAAATGGCATCTCTCCAGCAATAGACCACATAACTTATTCTCACCAAGGCACCAGATCTTACTCTGGATCCAGATGCCAGCTGTGTCTGCTCATCAACATATAATCCATTTTATTTGGTCTGTTGATGTTGTGGTCTAACATCTGAGATTTGCTCCTCTACTAATGTCAAATATGTTATCACCTGCTTACAGTGCCCTCTGCTGCCTACAGTGCCCTCTGCTCTCTACAAAATGAAGGGACCCCAATTAGACATCAATTCCAGAAAGACACATAAGTTGGTGGCAGAACGCTTTAACATCCCTGGACTTCCCATTACTGACTTCTGAGTAGCTGTTCTTAGACAATGAAACTTTAAAAGCCAACTTCAGTGGGAAATTGCAGAACAAAAAATCATCTACAAATTGGATTGCACTGTCTAAACCAAGGCTGTCCAAATGATGGCCAACAGGTTGCATCCAGACTGCAAAGGGTTAGTGGGCAGCCCACAGTCTCCTACCCAACTTCCATTCCCCGCATTGCTCTGGCTGATGTGGCAGCAACTGGAGTCTCTGGAACAGGGCAGCATAGCTAGACAGGGCCTGGTAAGCGCTCTGCGCTTCTGACAGGAAGGGAAGGGCTTGTGCTGCAACCTGGGGTTTGTAACGGAGCCAGAGACTTCCTGATACTTTTAAGGGCAGAAGAGCTGCAGAAAGTCTTGGGTGAAGGGAGCTGCCTGCCAGAGGCTGCAAAAGACAAGTCATGGGACAACAGGCTGTAAGTGCCTACTGCAGTGTTAGTGGCACAGCAGTAGTACAACAGGCCAGAGCCCAACTTAGGGAAGAAAAACACAGCCACAGCAGTTAGGTTAGCCAGTAAACCTAGTGGAATACACCTAACAGCTGACCTAGGAAAAAACGTGACCCAAACGAGCAAGGCTTATGGAATATATTAGGTCAGGGAGAGCCTGGGAGTCAGTCAGGCCCTGCAGGCTGCCAGGGAAAGAGCTCTGTACTGGGTGGAGGGGGACTGGCTAGGATCCATCTGCCCTGGGGACTGGAAGGAATGAACTGAAGGCTGGTAAATAGCTCAGTTTTGGTATTCAGCTTGGGTGTTTATAGTCTGCATTATAGCCAATGGGCTTATCTTTTTGTTATAAGTTAGACTAAAGGGACTAACACAGGAAGCTGGAGATCCCAGATATGCCCAAGGGGCACGTGATTGCCTGTAAACTCAGCATGGGGTTAGGCTCCAGGCCCAGCTTGGAGGATGCTGGGAAAGGGGAAGCCTGAACCCAGGAGTGAGACCAGAGCCCCTTGAGGGGTGAAGACTAAGCTCATAAGGGGGCAAGATCCAAGGCACTTGCAGGCAAATCTGACCAGAGCCCTTGAGGCATGAATCCTGAACCCGTAAGTCTGTAAGGATTACAGAGGGGGAAAATCCTGAGTTCATAAGGGGGCGAGACCTGAGCCTTACAGGAGCAAAGCTCAAGTCGGTGAGAGGCAGGACCAGACTTTGGTGGGTGAATCCTGAGCCAGTGAGAGGGAGAGATCAGAGATTGTGGGGATGAGTCTGGGTCTTTAAGGAGAGAGATCTGAGATCTGGCAAGTCACCAACAGGACCAGGCTGGCCTGAGGCCAAGATGGGAGCGACATGGGCCAGAGCACAGAGTCTAGGTAAGACATGGGGCCCTGAAATGCAGTGACCTCACTACAGACCTAGAGGCCTGAAGAGGCATAATACTGGACTGAGGCCAAGGCCCAGCAAGATGAGTAATGAGTAACATCTGCAAGACATGGGCATGCCTGTAGGGGAGGTTGGAGGCCATTAAACTGCAGAGTGCCTTAATGCACTGACTGACAGTGGGTGAGAGGCCATGCTGGGTTCCTGGGGCAGCCTCCCTTTACCAAGTTTGACTAATTCTAACTGCTTTTCTGACTTTGAACCCCGGTAGCATTGTTAAAACCTGTCTGCTTTTGCAAATACAGAAGACAAGTATGGAAAACTGATTCTTCTTGTACCTTCCTGTGTCGTGGAACCAAAAACCCTCGGGAAATTATACAGGTCCTGTGACCCTCTGCTTGGGGAGTGGGCTCAGATGACAGGGAACGGAGGTAGGGTTTGCTTATGTCAGTCCATGCTGGGGAAGGAATAGTCCTACTTTCATGGCTGCATTTAAATTCTCTCTGCATGGGGGGCACCTAATAAACAAATGATGGGGAGGTTTGGAGATGATACCGGCTGGTATTTATTTCATGCTGCAGGAAAGAGGGAAGGAGCAGTTCTGCTCCCATGCCTGTAACTCCTCCTTGCATTAGGATATCTAATGATGAGCGATGGATGGAATGACCCATCACTTTCCCAAGTCTTGAAAGCACCTCAGGTGTATGTAAGGATTGCAGAGGGGGGCAAATGACTGTTAAATGTGGGCAGGGCGTGAATGGGGAGAGCTGGGCTTCAGCTGGCTCCCTGCCCAATAAGTGAGGCTGGGGTTGGGCCATCTTAACCCTTTGAAGGAGTGATGCAACTGAGTATTAATATAAATGACATTCAACCCCCCCAAATAACAGAACCCTGTAAGTGGCACCCCCAAATTCCCTGAATGTCCTCAAAGCCATCTCCCCACCATTTTTTAATGGGTGGAATACAGGAACCCTCTTCCCCACCTTGTAAGGATGCTGAATGATGTTGCCAATGTGTAGATATTCTGATACTCACCAGTAGGCCTGGTGTCCAACAGTTCAAGAATGCCCTCCAACTGGCTAAGTCCTTGGCACTTGAAGAATGAGGAAAAGGAAGTTGGGTGCTCCTCTTCAATGTGTGCATCATCTGACCTGTCTTTCCCCAGTGGCTGATACATTTCCTGCTTTGAGGTCCCAAACAGCAGGAAGTGCTTAGGGCTAAAGCCTCTTCCTGGTCTCTGCCATTACAGCTGTCAGACAGCTCTGGGTTCACTCCATGGTCAGTGATGAAACACGATTCCCAGTGATGATCAGAGATAGCTCCTCACAGCATAAGTACATCACTTGCTGGGCAGCCAAAACCCAGTTAGTATTGCAAACGTTCTTATAATGGGCCTTTAGGACCTTTGTGTGGTAATGATGCAAGTCCAGACTGTTTCCACGAGCTGCCATCTCCACCACAATTCATTTGTAAACAGCCTGGTTTTACTGGTTCCTTCTCAGGGACTCTGTGCCCCAGCTGGAGAGAAAGTAGAGGACTTTGGCTTGCCTTCAGTTAGTGGACCGTTTCACTGACATCAGACATTTTGTGGTACTAATCATTGTAGTGGTAGGTGAGTGAGTGGTCCAGCAAATACTGGCAATGGCTTGCTTCACACTTAAGCTTTTCAAATGCTACATGCAGGGTCAGTGACTCCAGAGTAGTATAACTGGGAGTGTGCCACAGAGGGGTCACTGAGGAGGAAGGATGGTGAAGCAAAGCACTGTGGGGTGCTGCTTGGCCAGTCAATTAAACTTTAGCAGGGAGAACAACATAACCTGAAGCACTTCAAAATTATCCCTATTTCAGTCGGAGTTGTTTTCAATACAGTTTGGGTCAATTTGTAGTGCTACCACACTGTGTATTACCGCTCTATTATTAAAAATGTATGCTTTTAAACTACTTAAAGTGCTTTAAATGTTACATCCATCCATACCCTAAATAAACACCCTTTAGTTACAAAAGACAGTTCATAATGTAAAAGCTTCATTAATTCAATATTTATACCAACAGCAACTGTGCATATGCCAAGAGCAACTGTACATAACTTATAGAAATCTAAATAAATGTAAAGGATATATTAGCATATATAGCAGTAACTTATAGCTTGTATCTTAATAATTATAGATCAGTTGGCATTAACTAATGCTTTTGTCAATCCAAAACCCCTCAAAAGATATCTAATTTATGATCAAAATATCCAACAGTTTGTATTATGTGAATACAAACTTTTCTTCATTAAATGCTAACACCTCTTGTGTAAATTTTCATGAAACTCCATTTAGTACTTGGTTCTCAATGAGGTCAAGAAAAGAAGAAACCAGTCCTGATGCAACTCAGCAACAGCAGAATATAGTTATTTGTATATAAAAATTCTTCCAGGGTATTTTTTCTTCAAACATGCATATAATTAAGAAATGCAATGCAAGTTTTGGTGAAATTTTAAAGAGTCTTTTGGATTAATTCCAAACCAAAGAAAATTCAAACCAATGACATTGAAAAAAGACAAATTTAAAACTCATGAAAAGATTAGGAAAAAAAACAAAACAAAACAAAACAAAAAAATTACCCCGTGGAACCCAATGCAATCAAATACCACAAAAGCTAAGAGTTTAGCAGAATATATGGTTATGAAAACATACAACTTCATTAGATGAGATAAACGTAAGGATGGCCAACCACCGTGATCTTCATTCCTTTAAATTCCTTAAGTGCTTTCCCTATGAAAGTCATAAACATAGAACCAAATGAATATATGTTGTTTTCATGCAATTCTCCTATTGTGAAAAGGAAACAGGGCAAAACTAGAGGAAACAATGTTGTGTTAATAAATACACCAGATAAGGAAGGGTCATTTCAAACTTACCACTTGAATTGGAAGCTGGGGGAGAAAGGGGACAGGTCAATCAGAACTTTTTCTTTTATATCTTGGTGTCTGGTAAACAGAAACAGAAATACCTGGAACTAAGATGTCTCCAAATCCTAGGAGTGAGAAAGGCCTATCACAAAGAGCCAAGGGTGAGGAGTTCAGTCTTGGAACTTTCAGGACCATTGGGAGCTTGAAAGCAAGAGAGACATGCTTTATAAAGAATTTCACTTATGTATTTACTGTATAGCGCGTAAGTCCCTCTTTTCATTCCTACATCTATTACACAAGTATGCCAATACTTAAATGTATTTGTATGAGAATTACTTTTCATTTTACTGACCACTAATGAAATACATTTAACCGCTGTATGGCACTGACCCAGAACAGTTGAATATCAGTACAAAACTAAGTGTTTTAGTATGGCAAAAAATCCCAAGTTATTCTACATTTAATCCAACTTAATTTTAAATAAGACAGGCAAATTCAATTTCTCTGTTACTTAAGATAAGTCACTGATGTTTAGGTAAGTTGATAAACTCATTTAGAAATGCCCGAGAGATGTGTCGGCCATGTTGACAGCCACAAAACAACTGACTAAAGGTTGCTGTTGTATCTTAATTCATTTTTTTTATTTTTGCAAAGGTATTTTCAGATGTTCTGGAACAGCTGGTGACCTTAAGTACCCTATGAACTACAAAGCTGAAGCAGAATAGGACAAGATTAATAACAGCATTAAAAGAAAATTTCTTCACTTTGGCATGTTTAAAAGGAGAGCCTCCAGATGAAGTACCCTGTATCTTTTTGTCTGTTTTTAATCACGCCTACCTGTATTCAGGGCTGTCATCATTTGAATCTTGAGAAACAGAGCAAATGAATTTCTTTCCACTGAAATGCTTACTATTAAAAAGGTAACAGCCAACTACACCGAAAGTACACAGTATAAGGGTGGCAGTTTATTCTTTCCTGGTCATCTAAATTGTCATTTATGGTAGTCATATATCCACGGGTATTTAAATTCTAGAAACATGGCCCTGCATATTGGACAGCTATATTAATGCGCAGACCAGAGCATGTCCAATAGCAGCCATAGCCCCACAGAACCTGTAACTACTGGAATTAGCCTCAGAAACAGAAAAGCTGTGTCTGTGTATGCATCCCTCTTTTGTCCCATACAGCAGTGCATGCATGCACACATGCGCATGTGTGTACACGCATCCCCACTTTGTCCCACAGCTGAGTGCATATGTGGGACAGCTGAGTGGGATAGCTGAGCGTCCCGTATGTGGGACAGCTGAGCACCTCTTTTGTCCCACGGCTCAGCCTGGGTGTACCCACACACAACCCTCTTTTGTCTTATACCTCAGTGTGTGTGTGTGTAAATATCCCTCTCTCATCCCATAGAGTGGGTGGGGGTGTGTGTACATGCATCCCTCCTTCTTCCATCGCTCAGTGGCCAGAGAATTCACCTGGGAGGCTGGAGGTTCAAGGTTCTGGTTCCTCTCACCCAGATGGGGTTTGAACTAGGACATTTTTACTTCCCAGTACAACACTTTAACCACCACACTGTATGTCAAGTGTGGTGCCAGCTGGGTACTTATTGCAGCATCAGACTAAGTTTGGAGGTCTGAAAGGAGGCAGAGTAGCAATGATCTGTACAAAAATCTACCCTATAAAAGGTATCTACTGCCTAACCTGCCCAACATGGAGCATGTCTACTTTCCGTCTGATGCTGGGGATGGATTGGGGATTCTGTTGGAGTATCAACCACCCTATTACACCATGGATTCAATGTCTAAACTAGCCAAGCTGGTCTTGGAAGTGGTGTTAAGAAAACCCAGTCTTAATGGCTTGGGTGACTTCACCATGCACACCAAGGTTGGCTGAAGTGAGACTTCATGATCTCTGTGACACCCACATGGTTTTCCCAGGTAATAACTGGACTGGTATGTGAGGCAGGACACAAGTTGGAATTAATATTTTGCACCTTCCTAGAAACAGGGATTCTGAACAATAAGAGTATATGGTCATGTATAACCTTCCAAAGATGCAAATCCCTGTCTGCTGAGGCCTCAGTTGGAGTAGATCAGTTTGGTTGACCTGCCCACGGAGACTCCTGGAGCTGGTGGGATTCAAGAACTCTCTGGGGGAAGACTCTCTTTTTCCACTGACCTTGACAACAATGTTGTTAATGTTTTACCATTTTGTATAATGACCTGGTTCATAGACACAATTACACCCAGGTGTCCATTCCTACCCCTGCAGTGGCACAGATCCGCTTGGTATATAGAGGTGATACGGCAGTTAAAGCAGGAAGATCGGTGCTTTGAACGCAGGTGGCTCATGAACTATGCCAAAGCTAGCTAACTGTAGCATGGATCACTTTTAAAGGACTATGCCATGGCAGCAGCAAAAGCAAAGAAGCTCCTCTCCACTGCCACTGCTTCTGCAAAGTGCCACCCAGTGGAACTGTTCAAAGTGGTGAATGGACAGGTAAATCATGAGTTATCTCTGCCTGGAAATGGAGTCAGCTAGAACCCTGTTGCGATGAGTTTGTGACTACTTTGCAGGCAAGAATGTTCATATCCAGCGTGTCTTGGGGCTACCAGTTTATCTACAAAATCTGAGTTCAGGGTTGAGGAAACCTGGTCTTCTCTGTCCTATCAATTTCAATTGTTGTGGATCAATTTCATTGTTGTGGCTCACTGATGCAGAGTATGTATTTAGGTTGAGGGGGAAACAGGTATCCACTTGTGAACTGGACCTATGCCTATCATCCTGGCTTGTAAAAGCCAGATGGGGGAGATTGGGGGCTACTGCTAGAAGGGGTTGTCAATGCCTCCCTTTGGGAGGCAAGGTGCCAGCCATTCTTAAGTCTGCAACTGTTGGGCTGCGACTCAGAGGGGGAAAAAAAAATCTTGTGATGGTGACTTCCCATCTAGCTATTTCCAATTCCACTTCCAATCTTCTCTTTTTGGGACAGGTAACTGAATAGGTGGTTCCATGCCACTTCCAGGAGCATCTGGATGCTATCAGATTCCTGAACCCTGTCACTCTCTCTTTCATTCTTGGTATATCAAGGAAATTATGTTTGTGCTCTTGGTTGATACACTTTACCTGGAGATTGACATGGGAAACTGTACTCCAATAACTCTGTTAGATTCTTCAGTGGCCTTTGATACAGTTGACAATGAGGTACGAATAATGTGTTTATGTAATAATGCATTTATTTGTGGGATTGTTCTTAGTTGGTTTCATTTTCTCCTTGTAGAAAGGTTCCAAAGGGCAGTGATGGGTGAGTGCTTATTGTTGTTTCAGGACCTCTCCTGTGGGTCCCCAAGGATTCCATCTTCTTGCCCCTCTGGTTCAATATGTATGTGAGATAACTGGATGTAATAATGGAGAGACCTGGAGTGAGATGCCTTTAACAGGCTGGTGAAACCCAGTTCTGTTTCTCTTTTTCATTTGACCTAGGCCATGCAGTCTCAACCCTTACCTAGTGCCTAGCTCCAGTTGGGGATTGCATGCAGGTAAACCACTTGAAACTAAAACCAGACAAGACAAAAGTAATGGTGGCTGCCAGACCTCATGACTTGGGGGAGGATAGAAACATTTATCACTGAAGGGTTCAGCTTCTCCTTGTCACTTATGTTCCCAGCCTGAGGGAACTCCTGGATCCTTTTACTGCACTTGGATTTCCAAGCTGTTGCAATGGCTAGGAGCACCATTCACCAACTCCATCTGGTGAGAAAGCCAGGTTTGGATCTGGCCATTATCATCCATGCTTTTGTAACCTTGTTACAATGTGTTCTACCTGGGGCTGCCCTTGAAGACAGTTCAGAAGCTGCAGCTGGTGCAAAAGGCAGTGGCTCACTTTCTGACTGTGGCCAATGACCAGGAGTACATTACTTCAGTGCTCCACAGTTTGCACTGGCTTCAGCAGTTTTCTGTGCACAATTCAAGGTGCTGATTTTGACCCATAAAGCCCTCAGAAGAACAGAGATTCCTATATACGTAAGGGACTATCTTCTCCCTCATGTTCAACTGCAATCCCTAAGGTCAGCCAAGAACAACCTTCTGCAAATTCTATGTACGTGCCAAGTTCATCTGGCAAAACTACGTGGGAGGTTACTCTTGGCAGTCACCCCTCAGCTTTTAAACTCCTTCCTACTTGAGGCCCATCAGAGAACAAGCCTGGATGTCTTTCAGATGCACTGGAAGACTTTCATTTGGGAAGGCTTTTAGCAGGTGCCTTGACTTTTCCCACTTACACAGATGTGTCCCAGGAGGCAAGTACTCTAAAAGCTTAAGGGGGTTGATCCTACCTGGGAATTCCTGGTGTGTGCAGGTCTCAAGCTGGAGGAGCCTCTGCTCCAGGAAGGCTGGAAAACACCAGCAGCTTCACACTGCCCAAGCCCTTCTGCCATAAGCAAACACAACACGGGAATGCAATATAGCAGCCCAATTTGTTACTACCTTCTGTTGCAGCCACAGATTTGAGCATTGGTGGTGCTACAGAACATATGGATGTCTGTTTGTTTTCACTTTGTGCCACCTTAACATTTTTTATGAAGGCACAAAAGTGATATCTACTTCCATCCTTAGAATATATTTAGTGGTTTTATACCAATTAAGTCTGGTTTAGGGCAAGCCATAATTTAAATAAAGGACAAAATTAGGCATATTAATATCAATGATGATATAAATTATTAGGTGCATTTTTATATTTTCTTGCCTTATTTAGCAAACTTGAAACTGAGCCAAGAAATCAAGTATAAAAATCCAGATTCACCTCAGAATCAGTCTTGAACTACGGTTCTTGCTGAATGACCTATCTGCAGATGAACCAAAATTAGTCCTTCTTTAAAACTTGGTTTTTAAACCTAGGTAAGAAGTTGTTTTCCCTAATAGGCTAGCTCCCTGTTTAAGATTTTGGTACTTAGTAAATTTAAGATTAACACTTTTTTATTTTAAATATTTAAAAGTTGGTCAGTTCTGAATATTTGATTATTTTGTTTGATATGCTTTACCCAGAGGCAAGGATTTTTTGTGATATTGTTCACTGGAGCACTGTATAGTTGGGAGAGCTGTTGGACAAGTTTTCTGACATAAAGTGCCCTTCCTCAGGTCATCTGGGGCACTGACAGATGTTAACAAACATCAGTGCTTTACTGGGAGAGGAAGAACATTAGTTTGACCTAGCTCCCCAGTGTCTATATAGACTGGGCGTTTCAGTGAGCCTTTTTGGCGCTTCAATGAGCTATTAGATAAAAGTGCCAAAAAGCTCTACTGAAGTGTGTGATCTATATAGATGTTGGTCAAGCTGAGTCAAAGCAACATGATGCCTCTTCTGGGCATGCACTGTGTTTGATTTGGGGGCAAACTGAGCTGAAAGTAAAGCACTTTTTTTTTTTTTTTTTTTTCA